TCAGCCTTTTGAACCTTATGACTTCTGGGACTATTATGTTTTTCGGTGTCAACTGGACCTAAATTTAAACTATCCCAACAGTACCCAATGGCAACTTCCTATACATCTTCAAACAGATCTCGCTACAAGTAGGATGGGTTAACACTGCCTGAGACCTGGCCCTGTGACATGGAGCAGGCATCTGGTGGCTTAGTCTGGGCCTTCCTATCTGGATCTGGAGGAAAGGCTGGACCATTTCAAAGACATCTGCCAGCTTTGATCATGTTGGATTTCAGAATTCTAGCCAAAGAGAATAAGCCCAAACCCCAATTATTCCCACCATTCCCTCCCATCAAGCTTGCAAACAGGGCTGCCCACCTCTGAGGACAGCTGTCCCAGCAGGGCCAGTTAAACTGTGTCCTCCTTGAAGGCAGCATGCCAGCACCCACCTACTCAGCTGCTACACTGAGGGACAGAGAGGCATGCATCGATCTGAGCTACAACAGTGCCCAGCTCAGACAAGCATATCACCCCAAGGTGACATGGGCAGGGAGAGATCAGGCCAGTACCACGTGCTTAGGTGGCTGAGACAAGCTGCCCCAGCACTTGGCGGCAGACTGTTCTTCAACAGCCTCTCTCTGATGAGCTCTGAGCTGTGGGACATCCATTTCCATCCACTGAGGAAAATGCGTGAGAGCTTATACCTTTAAGGACATGGAAAAAGCCCGAATTGGGTTCAGTCAAAATGCCAAAGTAGTTTCTGTTCTCTACTCGACAGACCAGGCTGCCTTCAGAGCAGCTGAGTTCCTCAAGCCAATTCCCATGGGCCAAGAGGGACAGGAAGTGGATAGAGACATCAGGTGGTTACTGAGAAGCACAACCATTCTGAACCCAGCCCCAACTCCCCTCCAAGCATCTAACAAAAGACCAGTGGAGAAGCACAGACTGTGTACTTAGCCAGACTGACCAAACAGGCACAGCAGAGGCACAAAGGGGTCCTAAGGAAGGGAGGGGTCCCCAGGTCTGGGACTACAGGCAAGCACTACAGAACAGAGGGGCAGCCTGACTAGGACTCATAGGGCCCCCTTAGAGATGCTGCCATGGTCTCCTCATCAGCAGGACAAGATGATGAGGGCACAAGTCCCCAAAGACTCACCAAAAGGACACCAGGCTTGCCCATGGAATTCATGGCAGATGTGTAATACCACTTTGCTACAACACAATGAGCTCGGAGGACACAATGCCACATAAAGATGCCAGTCACCAGAATACGACCATATGTGGTTCCACTTATAAGGGGCGCCCAGAACTCATCCACAGAAGGTGCACTGGTGGTGGCAGGGCCTGGGAGAAGGGAATGGGGACTTTTTTACTGGGTGGTGTTCTGGTATGCATGCTGAGTTCTGGGGGTAGACAAGGGCATTGTTGTATCACGTCTATTTATTTAATGCCACCACACTATACACTAAATAATAACAGTGACACCTGTTCTATGAATATTACAATTTTTAAAATGGAGGAAGCCCAAAATAGTGGGTGGGTGTGTTGTGTTTAACCCAGTACTGATGTCATACCCTTGATAGTGCCCTCTCTGCGAAGTCATTTAAACAAGGCTAAAGCATTTCCCCATGTCAGATGAGGAAACAGACTGGAGGGATGGGGTCAATAACCAAGAAAGGGCAGCTGGTGCTTGTGTCCACTCTCTGGGGCCACACACAGCCTTGAGTCTGGGAATAGATAATCACTACACCAATCACGCATTGAGCAGGTAGGCACACCCACAGAGCACAGAAAGCAGGTCACAAGGCTCTAATCAGGAGAGGCTGCTGGGGCTCAGCCTTGCCTAGAGTACACAGATGGCTCCCAGAGATGCCAGTTACAGCTCTGCTCAGCTCACAGAGACAACTGCATAACCAGGAACCCAGGGGACAGTTTCATGGCTCTAATTACCCTGGACATGAGGACACACTGATTAGCAGCAAGATCAGGTGTCACAGCAAGATCAGGTGTCACAACTGATGGATGACTTCCTCTGTTGCTCTGTCCCTCTATTTCCCCAGCAGAACAGAACAGGGCTAGACAATATAAACTGGGGTCTCTTGAAACGTTCCCACTCACCTCCAGGTTTCATAGCACCTGCACGTCGCTGGGTCCTGCAGAGGGAGCTGGGTGGAGTGGAGCTTTGGTCATTGGGAAAGACAGAGACCTAACATATCTCAGAACCCAGAAGCAGAGTGAGATGAGAACACACATTTCTCACTTCAGGCAAATCTGGAATCAACTGTGACACCCAGATACACCACTCCAGCCTCAGTTTCTCCATCTGAGATAGGAGGACAGGATGGCTCTCCTGTGATTGCTGAGTTGTTAAACGAGGTACTGCAATATCAAGCAGTCAGTAACTCACCAGTACCCACTTGGCACCAGGCAGCTGAGGGTCTGGGACAGGAAAGCCCAGGCTGTTAGCACTGCTTCCTGAGTGACAATGGTTGGTCTCTGGCAAGCCACTCCCCAGCACCAACTCTCCCCTTTCTGAAATAAGTATGTGGTCGGAACTAGAGGTGTCAGAAGTCCTGCTCTTCTGTCCTCTCACAGCACAAGGCCCTCAACCCTCTTCCGAATAGTGGACCAAGTCATGGGAGTCAAACAGGGCAGAGCCAGTCAGGTGGTGGCAGAGATGGAACAAGCCATTCTCAGTGGGCCTGCACTACTCTTAATCCCTCACTAGACTCTTTAGGCTCCAAGGAGCCACCCCCAGCCCATGCCTGGCCCCTCTCCTGCTCCCAAACTTTGGGCTAGCAGAGTCTGTCTGCTGGCTGAGCTCTCACCTCTGATGGGATACAGGCTGGACACAGACACTCTGCTGAATATGTGTGGTGGAAGAATATGGATTCCCTGAGAGTCCCACCCATGACCCCTAGAAGCACATTTCTGGCCTGACCTGTCCTCTCATCCCCAGGAGCATGTGGATAAAGGAGCTGCTGGCTGAGGGGTCAAGGCTCCAGTACTTAAAGGCCTATTCTGCCACCTGCATGTCTGCCCTACTTCCTTGCAGAGCATAGTCTTTGCTCTGAGCCCAGGACGCTGCTGGAACTCTACTGGTGACTAAACTGTCACAGGGGTTGGGGGCATCACAGAGCAGAAGGAGAACTCCACAGGGGTCCCCGCCATGTGTCCTAGCTATACCGGTCACCACGACAGATGATGCAGGGTCCACTTTTTAGTCTTTTGACTGAGACAAGGCAGGGATGAGAAGTTGGTACCCAGGGCTCTTGCAGAGAGTAAATGAATGCACCTCATAATTAAATTAAGCTAAACCATTAAATTAGGTCGGACATGCCTGTAACTGTGCCCAGTGCACAGAAAGTAACATCTTTACCTTCCTTTCAGGGATGGAGCTCATTCAGCAAGGTAAAGTAACTTTTCCAAAGGCACACAGTTTGACAGGTCAGCTAAAACTAAAGTTGTATTAGACAGACTGGGATGCTGAGTGCTGAGTTATGGCTTGACCTTGGCCAAATCTTTTGTGTAGCTATTTCTTCACAGAATGCAGAGCCGCCAGTCCTCCTGGGAATTGACCCACTATAGATATAGGATGGACCAGTGAAGGCACTGGGAACAGGGTCTGTGTTCTAGAAGGCTTCCCTAGGGGAGATTATTTGTGCTGAGTTGCTGCCAAACAAGA